TCCACCCCCGCACACCCTCGGCCACGTCTGCCTGGCCATTACCTGCTTACTGGAAGACATATTGGTCAGCGTGCTGATGCTGCTGGTATCCGTCACCACCATCGCCGAGGGGAAGCGGGAGGTGTGGGAATACTGGGGAGGCTCCTGTTTGTGTGCATACACTGCGGAGAGGAGGGAGACAAGCAGCCGTCACGGAAAAGCCACCCACAGCCCTCGCGCCGGGGCAGAGCAGCCGAGTGCTGCGTTATGGCAGGTCACCGGGGGGCTGGGGGGGGACGGCCATAACGGAAGAGGGAGTAAAAAAAAGCCACGAAAAGAACCCCCCCCCTGCCTCTAAGCCACCACTTTCTCAGCTACCAGCTCGCCCAGGGAAATCAGTGGGGACCGAAGGGCAGTGGCTGGACCAGACACTGGTAGCTCTGCAGAGCCCGGTGCTGGAGCAGGGATGGGGCCGGGATGATGGACGAGCCCGAGGGGTGAAGCCAGATCCCTTCGGGGCACAGCGGGGGAGCGTCTGCTTTGCAGGGATCGCAATAGGCTCAGCCACCTCCTTCAGCAAAGCATGTGTTTTAGCAGTAAGAAGACAGAAGGAAAAATAAAGTCCGTACAAAACACTGCTGGGGGCTGCATCCCACCCACAGGGCAGCAGTGGAGCGGTACGGGAGATGCGGCACGGCGGATGGGACGGAGGAAGGAGAGGATGAGGCAGGATGTGGCCACCCCACACCGCCGTGCATCCCGCCCGCAGCCCCGCGCCAGCTGGTACCCGCAGGAGAGAGGCGGCAGCCAAGGGCGCAAGCTTGGGCAGGGGAGAGCAGGAAGAGAGCACAAGCTTATTTTCCCTCTGAACTCATTTTTTGGGCCCTTCCCTTCGCAGCTACCGCCCGGACCCTTACTGTGCGAGTTCTGCAGCTGAGTCACGGTGGCCATAAAAGGCTGCTGCGTCATATGGCTGGGTGACTGCTGCATCAGCGGCTGCTGGTGCGGGCTGTGGAGCTGCTGGGAGAACTGGACCGGCTGTAGAGCTGCCAAGCTGCCGGCAACGCTGTTGATAACAGGTACGCTCTGCGCCTGCGAGGTGTTCAGACCTGGGAGGAGGGAGAGAGCAGAACAGGGACGTCAAGCGCCGGCGCGAGTGGGCAGGGTGTCCCCCTCCCCGTCGTAGGAGCAGGGGGGTCCACGCGGGGCACGGAGGGGAGCTCGGGGCGCGTGCTTACTCTGTGCGATGGCCATGACTCCTGAGAGCGGCGTCATGATGAGGTTCTGGGACTGCTGCGGGTTGTGGTGTGACAAGCTGTGGATGTTGGTCAGGGTGCTCACTGGGGGCAGCCCGCCCCCCGAAACGGAGATCTGCCAAGGAGCAAGGCAGGACAGCCATCGTCAGAGGCACAGCCAAGGGGGCTGCTCCCGGCCCCCTCCACTGCTGCCTGCCTGCTTCAGCAGGGAGATTGGGGAGGGGGGGGTCAGCAAAGCCCCCTCCCAAGAGGCGAGTGGGCTGCAGCCTCACTGGGGCACCTTCAGTTCAGCGCACACAGCTCCCACCACCCCGGGGCTGCAGACCCTGGCTGGGATGCCTGAACCTCGTGTTAATAAATAGCGAAGCAGCAGCGGGGAAGGACTTTGCTGGCACTGGCTTCCAGCTCCACCAGAGCACGGCACCGGGACACGGCACATCCCGAGCCTTTGCCATTTTGTCCCCCAAGTCCAAGCTCCTGCTGTCGGCGACAGCTGAGGACTCTCAACACTCATTAACCTCTAACCACCACGGTTGTAGAGGAAAGTGGGAAATATAAACTCGGGGAGTAAAAAAAAAAGACAGAAAGCAGATAAAAAGGGCCTCATGGTGATGATCTTAGTCACCACTTTTGCAGACGGGCAGGATACTGGTGAGATGGGCCAGGTGCACTCAGCCAGAGCCAGTTCCCGGGATTTCAGGTCAGCGTTTAGGGATCAGACACACAAAGGCACTTGGAGCATGCTGAGAGGACTGGAGCTGGTCCCCAGGACAAACATGGGGTTAAGTGCCTTATTTCTTTAATTGCTGCACATTCTCCTAATCCCTCTCATTAGACCTCTTGCACTGAGCAACCTCGATCCAGATTCAGAGCCAACCTTGCGGCTCTTTGTGTGACATTTCTGGACACCAGTCCCAGCACCTTGTTTATTTCGCACATGTGAGTTGGAGATAGCCCCGCTGCAATTGAAACAAATCCATCAATAAATTCCAAAGCCCGGGAGTGACTCATATTTCCTGATCCGGTATTTTCCACTTTCAAAGTCTCTTCAAGGCCAGGTTACACCACACTCAGCTGCACAAGTCAAACAGTTCACGGCGAGCGCACGCCGCTCACCTGCACCCTGGGGTCCTTTTGCAGGGGGTTTAGACCCAAAGCATTGCACCCAAAATCACCTCTGGAGATCGCATGACTGGAGAAGACCCTCCAGACACCGGACCCTCGGGGGAGACCCTCTGGCACTACCACGGCTAAGGGCAACACTGGAGCATGAAAGGGTGAACCACCAAAGCTTTCTGCAGCCTCGGTAACGCTCCTCCCTGAAAAAATCGATTGCCTTCAGATGCAGCAACTTCCTTGGCAGCTTTTGGTTTCATGTGGGGTATTAAAGGCACATGTTTACTTACTAGAAACCACAGCCTACAGCATATTTTTATTAAATCACTTGCAAGCACTAGCTAGCCCCGCTTAAAGATGAGAGATAAGCTGGCAGAGCTGCATGCTGCTGAGGACCTGAGCGGTCCCTGACAGCGCTGTGCAGTGTCTGTGCAGCAGGGATAATTCAGCAGGGCTTTTGCTGCCACACGCCAGCGCCTACTGCACTTCAACAAGTTGCTTTTCCAAGTTCAATCTGCTGCATTTCCACGCAGCCTTCTCCTGTGCTGCCCGGCCACCGTGAGCTCCCTCTGCCCCGTCCGAGGGTCCCTCTCTGTGCTCCTGCAAACCCACCCCTCAGACATGGCCCCTGCAAAAAGAGCTGGCAGGGGGGGTGCTGGCAGCCTCTGCCACCAAGCTCTGCATCGCTTTGTTCTCGTGGACCCCCGCCCCGGGCACTCGGTGCCTACTTGCTGCTGCCTTTATTCCTGACTCATTTTATGACTTCAAGGCTCAGGGTTGTAAGGCTCAACACACCCCTGGGGAGATATGGGTGCTTTCGGGGTGGAGGGAGCATGCTGGGAGGGCTGGGTTTTTGCTCTGCAATATCTCCCCTGCTTGGCGGGGGACACTTGGCTTTGCAGGGTCAGCGTCCGAGCCCGAGGGGCTGCATGGAGACCCTCACGAGCCAGAGCCAGAGGGCGGCAGAAGGAAAGGCAAATTAAACAGTGCCATAGCTGAGGGAGGGGATGCCAAGCCCCTCTGCAGCAACCCAACTTCGCGAGGAGACCAACGCGACAGCCCAAGAGGGCCAACCCTCCGAAAATGGAAGTGAAAACCAGGAAAGAGCGGGCTCGGCCCTGCCGCCCAGTGCCATGTTTGACTTTCACTTTCAGCAGAAAAAACCTCCTCCCGGAAGAGCAGCGGCCACATGCAAATCTCTGGCAGCCTGCTCCGGGGAAGGGCTGTGCTCTCCCATCCCATCCCGTCCTTCCCCATCACCCTGCGCCCCCTCCTCGCCCCGCTCCTTCATGCGCTCCTCCAAAGGGCTTTGCACCAGCCAGGCACCCACAGAAAGGAGCAGCCCGAGCACTCGGGCGTAGGAAACCCAGCCCAGCCCTACATTTACAACCACTTTTTTTGCAGTGGCCGTGCAGCACCCGGCATTGGGAGGCATCAGGCACCCGACAGGGATGCCCATGTCCCATCTCTGCTGCCTGCCACTGCTGGCGTTTGCAGCTCTGCCCAGCGGAGCCCTTGCAGCAGAGCCCCGAGCACGTGGGGAAGGGGACAGGGAGAGGCAGGAGCTCCGGGGCTGGAGCTGGCGCTAGCAGGTTAGATGCCCTGGGTGATGCTCTGGGGCAAGAAGGCCCCTGCTCGCAAGGAGAGCGCTTCCCCGGCGAAACTCCAAACTTGGGAGGGCTTAGGGAAAAAATAATGAATGAGCATTTTATCGATACGCATGTCATTGGCAGGAGAAAACAAACAGTGATCCACCCAGCGCACATTCAATCTGCAAGGCATGCAATCAATAAAAACCCGAGCGAGGCACTGTCAGATTTATGGGCCGCACTCGGAAAACACGCCGTTGCCTGCCG